ATACCAAAGTATTTCCCAATTATGAATTGGGTTCCAAACCATGATCCATAATCCATACTTGGGGTAAAATGACCATTTTACCCCTGGTCCAACAAGATTCATAACTAAGGCCCAAGCCCTAAATCCAACAAGATCCAAAACAACAAAATCCATGAAAGTCCACTAATAGCCCAATTTTCCTAATTAGGCCCCATCCCATACTGGCCTTATTCTAAGCCTATAATTTCCAATTTAGATTGCTTCAAACACCCTTTGGGATAAACTTGATCAAAGGCATAATTCAAAAGTCAAAGTCAACGGCCTGAGTTGACCCAACTCGCCTAGTTTTATCCTTCAACTTGCCGAGTTCCTCTGACAACCGCAAAGTCGGGAAGAAACCGGTCCAACTCACCGAGTTGTCTAATCAACTCGTCGAGATGACCCACACCAACTCAGAATTGGGGGAAACCAAAACAAATCGTCGAGTTGGCCATCCAATTCGTCGACTTCCCCCGAGACCAAACAACTTAATCCATTAAGCTGACATGATCGAAACTATCAGCTTCTCCCACTCAGATCTTAACTGAAATGGCCTTAAGAAGGGTAAAGTTTCCAACTTTACCCCTAAGAACCACCAAAATGGGTTCAAAACCCAAACCCTAAACTTAAAACGGTAAGGACTTAATCATTACATACTTATTCCACAAGGACACAACTCCAAGATGCAGATATGACCATATGAGGCTTGATGGCCTTGTAAAGTTTTTCGACTTTACACTTATTCATGATTAGAAAAAGCTCAAAAGCTTAAAAGAGACAAAAAAGGACTTAATGAATGCATGAAGCCCTTAGGACCATAAAGTTGGCACATTTATGCCAAAATAGCTCAAGAGGACCATAGATCTGGAAGAATAGCACTTAGGACGTCCTTCGACCCCACAAATCACCCAAACATGGCTAAAAGTATCAAAACTTAACCCAAAAAGAGATCTAATCAAATATTAAGCAAGGATAGAACTTTATACCCAGAATATGCTGGAAATGATGCAAATAATCAAGATCTGTAGGCTTCTACTTGAATCACTACCTTGCACCAAGCTTCTCCTTCGTCCAAGAGCTTTAAACACACCAAAACACACTCACAAAGGATTTACAACACTCTTGAAGGCTCTAGGGTTTCGAGATTAGGGTTAGAGGCTGGAAATGAGTCCGGCACCTGGGACTTAAGGTGTTTAAATAGGGTGCAAAATCCTAAAATTGGGGTTTCTCAAATAGCGTCCAAGTCACCGAGTTTCCTTTACCAACTCGACGAGTTGGTCCTCAAAAACACGCGTTCCAATAGCTTCCAACACGTTGAGTTTATGCCATAAACTCGACGAGTTGGCCCCTAAAAATGGAATTTATTTCCATAATTTGACCTTCTAGATTTCGGATGTTACAAGTTGAGCTCAAATTAGGGCATTTATGAAGAAAAGGAGGTCAAAACCTCAAGCATGAGCTCAAACATCACCCAAACTTCAGATTCACCACATATAATCACGAAAGGACTCTAAAGACCCATAAAATTGCTAACTTTATGGAGTCCCAACACTCAAACTCATCTAAACATGGATAATCATGCATAAAACTCTAGATCTAGCAACAAGGAATCATAAAACTTGAATCTTGGTTACTCACAAAGGTCCAGAGATGTTGCTAGAAGATGAAAATGAAGCTTCTAAGATGGATCTATGCTCCAAAGGCGATCCATTTTTCTTCAAGCTACCAAAACACCACCAAAAAAGCTCAAGAATCATAATGAGATGCTAGGATTAGGTTTTTTCTATGTTTGAGGACGAACGAGATTGTTAATGAACACTAAAATGAAGTTTATGAGGTTTAAATACAAAGGAAACCCTAAAAGATCATGTGTTTGGGCTGTAGCACATCTCACGCCGTGATCTCAATTGAATCCACATTTTCATTTATTCACTTGTCGCATCGTGAACTCTGTATGGTCACGTCCTGACACCCGGTTTTACCCAAAAACCATACATTTGACTCATTGATAACTTAAACCGATCCGTTCTAAACATTGAATGTTATAATTTAGTTTTTTTGAAATCTCAATCCAAAATAAATGATAATTTGAAATGTATTAGTCGGGTCAAAATGTACCTCTATTCTAACATGTTATATTCAAGAAAACCTTTGGTTAATTCAGATTATAAGTTCTTTCCTAAAGGTCATTTTGTAAATGTCTTTATAAATAATTATTAAATATTGATAGGAAAAATAAGGCTGATTGATATATATATATATATATATATATATATATATATATATATATATATATATATATATATATATATATATATATATATATATATATATAGCAGTGTTGCAGAAATCGGTCTTGGCGGCCGATTAATCGTTTGACGACTTCAAACCGATTACGATTAGGGTGTTTGGCAGAAATTGGTCAAAATCGGTCAAACTCAGGCTTGGCGGTTCTTGACGGCCTTGGCGGTCCTCAACGGTCATAGACGGTTAAATTTTTTTTTTTTCAAATATTATACCAAAATTTTAAAATTTTAAATTTTTATGCTTTCAAATTTTAAAATATTATACTAAAACTTTTAAATTTTCAAAATTTTAAAATTTAAAATTTCCAAATACTTTATTTTTTAGGAAATATTAAATTTTTAAATAATTTTATTAATAATTTAAGGTCCCCGATTAATCGTCGATTAATCACCGCCGAGTCTGATTAATCGTTTGTCGCCAATCAACCGCCGAACTACCATCGAACAATTTTTACAACCTTAATATATAGTAGTCTATCTAAATTCTATTCATTTGGTCACTCAATTTTTTGTTGGGATCAATAAAGCCATAAACACCAACTTTTGTCATTTAAAAAAAATAAGAAAAGAAAAAAAAAAGTTTTGTCTTAATATTGGCAACTCAACATGTCAACGTTCAAGAACAAATTCTTTTCAATAATAACTTTAATGTATAAGTTAGTATAATATAAAACATAAATAAGAACCAATTGCCACTTTGTAGCCAAATTGGATGTCGTGTTGGTATGATACCGTTACACTGGTTACATTATATCAGGCCGTGTTGCAAACATTGTAACACTTTTAGGCTTTTTGTAGTACATAAAATTTTAATGAGTCGATGAACAAATTTCAAATAACTTGTTATCATTATATATCTAAAAAGGCATGTAGGAGACAACCTCTTTTGCTAATATTTAAAGGTATGTTCGACAACAAGCTTTTGAATGCTATTTAGTTTTTTTTAATCTTAAATTAAATAAAAAGATTTAATTGGAAATCCAAGTTTAAAAATTTTATTTTAAATAGAGTAGAATATACGAATGGTCCCTATGGTTTGGGATAATTTGGATGTTTGGTCCCTAATTTATTTTTTTAATTCACAATATACCTACTGTTTGTTTTTTGTTTGTGCTTAGTTTTTACTGTTTGTTTTTGTTGCGCATTTGGTTCCTATCTTACATAAAAAAAAACCTATTATTTAAATAGAGAAAAATGATGGGATATGTAAGGTAATGTGAAGAGGGTGGAGTTGGAGGTGTGTTTATTTGAATAAATTAAAAAATCAAGGGAAAAATAGTCTTTTTAAGTAAGACATGGACCAAACGTGTAACAAAAACAAACAGTAGAGACCTTTCAAGTTAAAAAAATAAATTATGGACCAAAGACGCAAATTACCTTAAACCATAGGTATCATTCGTATAATTTACTCTTTTAAATAAAATCTCATAATCTAAAAAATTCTTCAACTAGCTTTTGAGAACTTTAGTATGTAACTTTTATGTTTTATGTTAATTTACACCTTATAAAAGTTTACAATTATTTTTTACAAACAAATAAAACTTACCATTAATGTTATCAACCCAAAATACAACAAATATACGTGATCTATTTCTAGATGTTTTTACACTTGACGTATAAAACTTACCATTGTTTTAAATCAGAAAAAGATTCCACTCCCAGAAATGCCAAAAAGAAGTGATAACTGTAAACTTTACAACAATCACGTTATACCAATTTGTACCCAATGCAATAAAAGTTGTACATTGACAAATTAGTGTCTGTAGTAAGTTAGGTGAGTGATTGTCCATATTTAGTTAGAAGAGCTATTTATAATGAATTAGGTAGGTGAAGTATATCTATTAGGGATGTTCTTATTGAGATGGATGACAAAAGATGTGGCCATAAGGGTATTCTCTACAGTTTGTACATCACATGATGATGGCAGTGGAAGTTGTACCATATGCATCAACACTTGTACTTCATTTAAGTACACTGATTGGTTACAGTGACCCCCATGAGGAGACTGCCAGAGCTGACCATCTCTCCTCGTGAGTCGTGACCTGTCTGTCTTCAATTTCAAGCAAGAAAAAAGATTAAAGGTCATTTTCTCTTCGTATTTTAAAAAGATTATAACTATCCAAGTTGTAAAACACAAAGTATACGCTTAATATCTTCTTGATTAGAATCATACATGCAAGATAACAAAAAAAGGGGGTAAAACAAGTCCAATTCTGATATTTGTCACCATTATTTTAAACTAGTAGAGAAACAAGAAATGCATTCCATTATGGAATACTCCTTTTGTCAAAAGGAAAGTAGAAGGCATTTGGAAAAGAAGAATAGAAATGGAATCTGAATGATTATTGGGAATTGTATTCTTATTTATATTCCAAAGGAATAAGCCACTTTCCACAAGCCGCAATCATCTTTGAATCAGATGCCAACCACTAATTATACATTTCAAATAATAAAAGATAGAAAAAGTTTTTCAGTAAATTATTGCATACATTTTCAAATAATAAAAATCCTTTACAGATAACACATCTAACATAAGTGATTTGAGTCGAGAAAATCTCTACAAATGTAAGGATTACTAATGAAAGAAGAGAAAAGAACATACGAAAGATGTTAAGATATAAACAAATATAGAAATGGGAACATATTTGTATTTAATCTTATAATAGATCTAATTTTTTATTTTACGCCTTTGCCCTCGTCCTCATTCAAGATCCGGTTTCTAAAATCAGCTGCCATTCGTGGCAAACCTTCCCGAAGTGTTATCTTTGGTTCCCAATTTAGCATACTTTTAGCCTTGCTGATATCTGGTTTCCTTTTTTGAGGATCATCAGCAGTGTTTTCTTTAAATTCAATTGTAGCACTTGGATCAATAGTTTCTTTCACCACCTAAAACACCAAACTTTCATTTTCACAATCATATTATTTTAAAAAAAAAAAAAGAAATTGATCGAGAAACAAACCTGAGCAAGCTCTAACATAGTGAATTCTCCTGGATTCCCTAAGTTAAAAGGCCCAATATGTTCACCTTCCATTAGTGCCATGAGCCCATCAACCTAACATCAAGCCAAACTTGTAAATTATTTCACTAGAAAATAATAAATATTTATTGATTATATTCATATGAAAATGAAATGTAGAATACCAAGTCGGACACGTATTGAAAACTACGTGTTTGTTTTCCATCACCATAAACTGTCATTGGTTGTTTGCGAATGGCCTGTAAAACAGAGCTATTTTACAAATGAGGTATTGTAATAAATGATAAGTGATAATTTATTATTTATTTAATAAATTTAAAAAAAAAAAAAAAAAAAAAAAAAAAAAATGGTTAGGTTTGACCTGTGCTACAAAGTTGCTAACAACACGGCCATCATCGAGACACATTCTAGGACCGTATGTGTTAAAAATACGTGCAATCCGGACCTGAAATGTAAATCATACTTGTCACATGTCATTGTTTAAAATCATCAATGAAGCTTGGATCATTGTTTAAAAACTAACTGAATCCATCCCGTGGTTTGAAATATGAGGTTTAGGGGCATAAATGGAAATTTAAGCATAAAATTGGTAAAACACCCATGGATTCATTTAGTTTAGTAAGTTATCATGTTATTAAATATTAAGTTAAGTTCTTAATATTTTTAGGAATTGATTCATATCATCGTCAATACAAATAATGGATGAGAACTCAAACTAGTTACCACTTTCAAGTTTGAAAGTCTAAAAATGGAGTTTTCAAAACGATCATTTTAATCAATGATCCAATGGTGTTAATGATGATATGAAAACTTGTGGAATTAAGTTTAGAAAGAAGCATAATCATTGAAAACCATTGAAAATGGTGTTTGAAGTGTTAAAATCAGATTTAACAAAGTAGGTTTTTGTTTTTGGCCTTTCTAGTGTGAACTGCACATATCACTTACAATTGAGTTGAGACTTATATAATGTCTGAATATTGACAAATGAGAACACTTTACCTTTTTAAAGCTAGATATTGGCTTACTTCTTTATAAGCTAGATGTGAGCTTATTGTAAGCTAGATATAAGCTTATTTGACAATGACTCAATGAGAACAATATCTCTCTTTATAAGCTGGATGTAGGCTTATTGTAAACTAGATATGAACGCTTATTTAACAATAAGAACACTTTCCCTATTATTAAGCTAGATGTGGGCTTACTGTAAGCTTGATATAGGCTTATTTGACAATAGGAACACACTTTCCTTTTAACAAAATGATTCCATCTCTATGACCCTTATGTTGTGAATTCAAATGGGCATTAATTTATGGTCCTTAACTCCTTGTATCTAATTTAAGAGATTTCTTCCCATAGTTTAATGAAAATGACAACTAAAAGAATAGCAACACTATGTAATGATTAATGATTAATGAATCACCTCAACATCATCGCCTCGATGATAATCCATTGTCAAGGTTTCAGCTGTCCTTTTCCCTTCATCATAGCAGCTTCTAACACCTAATAATATCAAAAACTGAATCATTACAAACATCACAACAGAAAACAGACACAAAAAGATAAAGTTGTACAAAACAAAGTATATTCAGACAAATTTCAGTTTAAAGTCCACCTATTGGATTCACATGCCCCCAATATGTCTCCTTTTGAGGATGCTCAAGGGGGTCTCCATAAACCTCACTGGTGCTTGTAAGCAAAAATCTTGCCCCAATTCTTTTGGCAAGTCCCAGCATGTTTAGAGTGCCCATTACATTGGTCTTGTAATCACACTAGTTAAGGATCTTCAAATTCATCAACTTTAGCATTTATATATTAAAGCATTACTAAAGAGGAGATCATATATGTCAATGCAGGAAAAAATTGATTTTGATTACAGTAAACAGAGGAAGAAAGAGCTGAAAAAGGATATGATTGTCTTGACAGGGTTGTACTTGTAATGGACTGGGGAAGCAGGACAAGCTAAATGATAGATTTGATCCACCTCCAGTAAGATAGGTTCAACCACATCATGCCTAATTAACTCAAATCTAGGGTTCCCAAAATGATGCGCGACATTCTCTTTTCTACCAGTAAAGAAATTATCAATGACAATCACATCATCTCCTCTCGCAATCAACTTATCAACTAAATGACTACCCACAAACCCGGATCCGCCAGTCACCACAACCCGCCTCCTCTTCTGCCCAATAGCCACCGGAACCCGTCCTACTCCCTTATTAACAGGACGGTAGTAGTGGCTAACGGTGTCTTGGTTGGAGATCGCAGTGGATCTGGGCATTGACGGGATTTCATATCCTCTACCAGTATCGGCTATGCTGATGGTGGTAAACGATGGTTTGAGGATGACGAAGGCGGAACCGATCAGGATTCCGATTAGGGTGAAGAGGAGACGCTGTTCTTTGATGATGTAATTGATGGATCTTGGGAGATATCGGTGGGTGGATGAAGGGTGTTTGAGGGATTTAGGTGAGTAAGGTGGGGTTTGACTAGTCGGCATTTCTTCATCTCTCCTTTGATTTGCATTTGATTGTTTATGTAACTGCTTCATGTTGTTCATCGTGATTGGATCTTTTCGATTCAAATTATGTTTTTTTTTTTTTTGGTATAGGGGTTAATAGGTTATGAGCAACTGAAGAGCATGAGAATGGAAATGGGTGTAGAAATGATGTTTATGCTTTCAGGGGTTCTTTGAAGTTTGAAGCCATGAACGGCTGTTGTGTCTTGCATTGTTAAAAAGAGCAGTTGCGCAGAGTCAACGCCCAAAACACAGTATTTTTGTAATTAAAATATAAATTGCGTAAAAGATAATGTACTTTAGTTGCTTTTTACTTTTTCTTCTATTTATTTCAGGTGAAGATTTGATTTTAAATAAGATTAAAAATAACATATCAACCTTGCATCTGATCCTAATTTCCTATCCCTCATGTATAATGATATGAAATTAGTGAAATTGTATTTATACAAGTATATGACAATCTTCTTCCATCATTCATTTACAACATAATGGGTTAGTGTCAAAGTATCTCTTTACTTTTTATAATGAATGTTTAATCATGGTGTTTATAGTTTCATTAGAATAGTTAGAAAATTAATTAAAAAAATAAAGATGTAACATTTGGGCTAAGAATCTAGAAGGGCTCCGAAGTTGGTAGCCCACCAGTGAGTTTGTGAGGCCCATAGTTGGCTACTAAACACTAGGTTGTTGCCTTGCTGGTATGGTCCAGGCCCAGGGAAAGTTATATAGAAAATAAATATAATAAATACGCAAGGCATCGAAGAAAATTCTAGAAAATTAAAATATATTAATAAATACAAGTCTTGCATTAAAGTAAAATTGGACATAATCACATATATTTTAGCTCATAGAATTTTCTGATTAGTTTTTAACAACCAGTGCCGGCCCAAACCCAGGGCGAGAAGGGTCATGGCCCAGGGCAGCAATTTCTAATGGGGCATCAATTTTTCATAACCTCTTATAGGTATTATGTATTATAGTATATTTGGGTTGTTAGGCTGTTAAGAAAACTGAAGACTAATCCAGTAAACCATCACGTTCAAGACTTAGGGCAGCAAATTTTTAGAGACCTAATAGCAGCAACTACAACGGTACAACAATTACGACTCTTCGATCTAAACTTCGAATAATTGAAGATGAAGAACACGAGGCGTCCCTAGCGTCTCTGCTGGAGAATGGAGATGGACCATCAAGATTTAGTCTGCATCAATTCAATCGCCTACTGCCCTATTATTTCTTCCAGTCTTCTGATTCATTGCTTCAACACTCAACAGTTCAGCACTTCTCTTGCCCTCTCTCTCGATAAATCGACTTCTCCAGTTCTCACATATTCTTCTTTCTTTCTTTCCTGAATCGTCCTCTACTGAATGTTTGAATCGTCCCTACTAGTTTATCTATTGCTCTAATTCTATTGTGCTAAAGACTTAAAGTGAAGATTCAAAGATGGATACAGTGATTGAATGAATTCTTCTCCTCTTAAGGTCCTAATCCGGTAAGTTTTTTCTAGTATTTTAAATTTCTTGCATAACCTACTTGAATACTTTATGTTTCGAAAATTTGATAGTGAGTATTGGTTAAATTTTTTGAAATTTCAGTTTTTTTATTAAGGTTCCTGAAGTCTGGAGAAGTGAAATTTTCGATCCAACTCATCCAAAATTGCAGACTTGCAGTGTTGTTCATCCTGGATTACACTAAGTTTCATTAATTTTCCAGGTAATTTCTTTCTTCTCTTGTGATTTATGATCAAATTAAGTTGCTGATTTTGATTTTTTTTTATATAATAATATAAGTTTTATCTATCGTTGAATGTGATATTTTTAGTTAATTTCTGAATTAAGTTATCACAATTGCTAGAAATCTGATGTAGTGATATGTATGAACCTGATTTTGATTTTTCTGAGATGTGAATTCAGAATTCTGAATAATTAGATTTATATAATCTGTTGATTTCTGAATTTTTGAAAATCTGATGGTTTTCTGAAATCTGAATAATCTTATTGTGTTTTTGAATTCTGAATAATATCTTAATTTAATTTCTGAAACATTGTGAATTTGTGTATATATGAATCTGATTTTGATTTTTTGAATTCAGAATAATTTGATTTATATAATCTGTTGAGTTTTTTAAATTCTGATTTTTGATAATGTGATAGTTTTCTGAAATCTGAATAATCTGATTGTGTTTTTGATTTCTGAATAATATGTTAATTTAATTTCTGAAAATCTAAAAGATACTTTTTTTTTAGGTTGTGGATATGGAATGTTAACTTCATGCTTTGGATACGGAGTCTTGATTATGATAAAATAATAAATGTTTTTGCTTCAAAAAATACAAGAAGACATCGTTTTAGATGAATTTTATGTATGATTTTGTTTGTATAACCTTGTTTTGGTTTGACTGTAAAATTTATTTCATTTTTGCTATTTTTTTAAATAAATAAAGGCATTAGTTTAGAATCTCGCTCCGGACATTAAAAATCAATGGACCGGCCCTTTTAACAACGAAAATATTTTAGTAATAGAATATTGTGTGAGCGAAATTTTACAAAGAGTATGATATTTTTAGTCTTCCAAAAACATAAAACTTATTAGACCTCGTTCTTTTGTCTAGTTTGTACTTTTTGAAAACATAAATCGAAAAATCACAATAAAAAACGTCAATAGATAAGGTTTTATAAAATCAAGTATGAAATGCATAAGTATAAATAGTATATATTTAATACACTCGATTTATTTAAAAAACAATCATTATGGAGTTTGATCACATATCACATATACAAATCCTATTTTGTCTTCTGTACATTAACAAACTTACATCAAAGGTTCTTAAATCTTAATTTTTTTACAACTGCCAAAAATTGATTAAAAGTTATAAAATTATAATGAAAATTTGTAAATTGATGAAAAAGTAATTAAAAAAAATAAGAACTTGTTAACAAAGCAAAAAAAAAATAAAATAATAAATAAATAAATAATAGAAAGAGTTGCGTTTTCTTTCTATTTTCTAACTATTTGAAAAACAATGTCTTGCCAAATTTCTATTATGTATGATGATAAAAGACATATAATTCAACATCTTTCGCTCTCGAGTCTCAAATATTACGCATTCGACCTCCGTCATAACGTTAATTGTTGAAAATTGAAACCTTGCTTATCAATACAAAACAACACATGTTATTAGCCTTGACTAGAAAAAGTCAAACTATATTTGTAAGCACGTATGAAAAATGTGAACATTAAACTATATAATTCACACGTTTTTCGAAAACCATTTATAGGATGTTTGATATACGACAATGTTTATATTTTTGGAATGGTAAAGATAGTGGAAAGAATTTTGAGGCAATATTTTTTTAAATGTGGTATATCTTCTTCGTTTATTTCTTCTCATGAATGCAATCGAATTCCTGTTAAGAATACTCAACCTCGACATACTTCTACGGGATTATTTTCTCGTAAGTGATTGTCCGAATAAATTAAGTTTTCAAACCTGATGTGTGTTTCTTCTTTGTTTTGTAAGTTGTCACTTAATTTATTTTTTAAATACGAAATGTTAAATAATGGAAGTTATTGGGAAAATGACATGCCAAACAAGGATGGATTTATAGGCAATGAATAATCGAATATAATGTGTGTGCATATATAATACATCACAGTCTTCTCCTTCACAAAATAGTCACAGTACATGTTCACCATGCAATGCTAATTTTGAAAAGGTCCATAGCAACATAAGAAATAATGAAGCGGTCCATAAATTTAAGCCCATAGATGTTGGTCCATCAATTCAAGCCTCATAGTAAATGTTGGTCCCAAAAAGAAAAACAAAGAGAGATTGCATTCAATTAATTATTAGGTTTACACTCCTTTAATTTACAAACTAAAAATAAATAAATAAAAATAAAAATCCCTTTACACAATGTATCCTTGCATTTTCTATTTTAATTGTTTGCCCTATTTATTTTGGTATAATAAGTTAAATAAATAAATAATACTTAACAAAATATAAATAAATTATACCATTAAATTTTTTTATAGATATATTCATAGTGGTACCAATATTGAATATTATTGGTATTAGTTTTGTAGTTAATTTTATAATAACCTAGAAAACTTAGAAATTCTCTTTTAGAAATATATAAGAAAAAATCGATTTACAATTAACATTTTATTTTTACATTAGATTTACATTTAATACCTTTTATTTTTCTAGTTTATTAAAATATATTAGAAATTTGAATATCAATTTTAGTAAATTAAACTATTTTATTAAGTTAATACATATATCAAAAGAAATAGAAATTTTTGTTTCATATTAAAAATATATGTTATATACAAATGAATCATTACCTTCATCCATCAATTGGATATTGTTCAAAGAACTAATAGCAGCATAAAAATGACAACAATAAGTAAAGTGATATCCCTTTGTTGATTGATTTCTTTGTTGATTGTTTTTTCGAAGCTAACAGTTGTAATTTGTGGACCACATCTGCAACCTTCTTCAATAAAAGATATGGACAAAATGTTTGCAAACTATAGTAAAAAAGTCTGTTTGTTTTTTAACATCTCTAGATTGCTAAAATAAATTGAAATTAATCATACAATAGTTAAAAATAATTCCAAATCAAAATTGTATTTTGTTTTAATCATACGTGTTAGGGCAAAGATCCTCAATCCTAGCCAAGATCCCGGATCTTAAGGATATTTAAGGATCCTTAAACTTATCCAGGATCCCGGATCTTAAAGGAGTCTTAGGATCCCGAATATACGTCAGGATTCTGAACATCGCCTTTATTATTTCCTAACAAGTTTAACGGCTATATTTCTTGTTTATTTCTTACATGTGCATAAATGGTCAACATAAGACTCATTCTCAACGAAGAAACGTTCCAATCAGTGTTAAGACCCAGAAATACCAAGTCAAAGCATGTGCAAATACCAGCTCAGCAGGATCTCAGAAATATCAGACTTTTAGTTACATAACCTAGACTACATATACACCTTAAAAACACACAGTGTTTTGGTAAAAATCTGAATAAGTGAGATTAACCAAAGTGTATGGTGTTGTTAATGGATCAGTTAATGGAATTAGAACAATATTGCACGAGTGGTTTACAAGGAAAGCCCTTGATCCTTGTTCGGATCTCCTACATAAAACCTTAAGAGGTGTTAATAATCACCTGTA